GACGTGCATGTCCAGGTACGTGCTGAGCACCTACAGTATGGGATACGCTGGACTGACAAGTCCGAACCACACCGACACAGTCGTCACTATGACCCAGTCGTCTGGCCATAATGATCTGGCCCTTGTCTAAGTCACTCAGATCTTTATCCCTGCCCATTTCGTCAGCATTCAACATGTCGACTATGACAATCTTAGCTTATAAATAAATTCCAGATCTTGGCGCACATTGTTTTTACGAGATAATCAACATTATTTGCTTTGCATGGGGGTGGTCGTAAAGTTTTTACTCATTATACAAATTATGAGAGTATAGTGTAGCTTGTACTAAAATTACTTTTTCTATCACTAATGCAGAGTATAGCAAGAAAAGAAAATTAATTACTAAAATGGTGGTAAACTTCCGGAATGTCATAAACACCGATCATCGTCAGGTTCTGCAGCACGTGGGCAAAGGAACCCTGCACCTACAGGACAGGAAGTTGGCGTTAATCTGAAAGTGGCTCACGTCACACTCCTGACACTCCGTTTCCATTCAATTTATGTACCGGTTTAATTCCCCCTTGAGAACCGAGAGCTGCATTTCTATGCTGGGGAAATTAAGAGGCAATAATGTGTCTCGTACTAATGGTGTGAGTCTCTGATCATATTTCTCACTCAGCTCAAGATGAAATCTACACATACTGGAATATTCCGGAAATGAACCTTTAATTTATAGCAGATTAAATATTAAGAACAAAATAATAAATTTTCTGGGAAGCCTTAACATAAGATCCATGACCTTGCAAACCACATCAAGACATCCAGAACATATTTAAATAATTTCCTTCATATCCCCCAAATGCCAGGAGGTCACAGGTCAGGCTCGTAATTACGCACCAAAGCAAAGCATAGATCACCTGATTTGAAGTTCTAATACTCTTTTACTCGAAACACATGGATGACCAGCCTCTGCTTTTGTTTTGTTTTGTACGATATGCCATCAGGGGCAAAATATCTCTGAGAAATAGATCATAAATTTAAGAATATCTTAATTTCAAAACCTAAAATATTTTAAGACTCATGTGCCAATTCCCACATTACACTCAATGTAAAGCTAAAGGGATGTTGATTTCATCTCACTACTCTGTACAATCAGATGTTCCGAAGTAGCTGGTTCCAGCCCATACAGGCAGCCCCAATACAATGAACTGCAGGACAATGACTGAAATCTTGGGGTGCCAAATACACAGTGTTCATCACGCAGTGAAATGGACAAGATGATTATTAACATAACAGATGATTATTACTGTAATAAATTTTTTTATTTTGAACGTAATTGTCCAACAGTTAACTTTAATGATAATCATTAAGGATATTTAAGATAAGCAATAATAATAATAAAAGTAAAATTGAATCTATATTAACAGAGTGCATCTCCCACGTAACATTTATAATATCATTTTAACGCAGTGCTATGGAGGAACTCGTGCTGTCGGGGCTTCGATCAGACAAAACCTGTTATGTCTATTTTCAAATGAATTCAAAAGAAGTTCTAAAAATTAATTTAGCTTCATCAGCTGGTAGCTAAAGGCAGAAAGAAGTCTGATGCAGCTCTGAGTCCACAGCAGAGCCGGCAGCCGCATGAAAGCTACAGCTGAGTTCACTTTCGCATCATCCACCCCCCCCATCCACAAAGGCAATTTAACATCCGTAGCTTAGCGTACCACCAGACATCGTAATAATTGCCGTATATCTCACTAAACGGTTCATGGCAAACTAAATAAATAGAATGCGTGACAGGACAGCCACAGCTGAAATGCGGCATTCTTTAAGACGTCCAGCTGAGGACGGAAACAATAAAACAAGGAGTATTTTATCAGACATTAATGGATGAATTAAACTGCACGGTTTAATATATTTTGCCCTCAATTTGGATATATCAGTTGATGTCCTGCTGCTCCTTTTGAATTTTAGATACCCAAACAGCAATATGTGCCAAGACAGTCTATGGGTCACGATGTCAGATAAACTCTGAGGGAGACTTTTCTGCTTTATTTACAATGTGACTTTTAGGCTGCCTACTCTCTCCCCGCCTTTTGCCACTTTATTCTGCATCACAGCACCAAAAGCATTTTTTGATTAGCTGCTAGTTATGACAGATGTGGTTCTACGATCCATCTCTATCACAGGAGGGGGGAGCTCTGTTTTTCCTGTCCTCCACTGAACAGGCTCCCTGAAGACATTTGGTGAAACGGCTCCATTGTAAGTGGATGTTTTTGACGGATGTGTGCAGTCCGGTAACGGAGGTAAGCGGATGACAGCTTGAAGCGAGTCAGCAAAACAGACCCAGAAACAAAGACTGCAAATGCAGTGCCACTAAAAATGTGCACAGAAAATATATTAAAATGATTTTTAAAAAACACGACAAACATGGCCCCAAATCGGTGTCTATTGCTAAACATGTAATTATCCCGAATTCCTGGCATAATTATGAATAAACATGATCAATTAAATCAGACCTTAGCTAGTTTGCAGTTTTATCATTTTAAGTGCCAGATTGTGATAACTGGTTTTTATTTGATGACAGACACTCAAGGTTGCATAGAGAAACATTTCATTAAGGCAAGCTCTATCTTATAATTGAAAATGGGGGCGTGCAAAATAAACAATTATGACCATTAACTCATTAAATGAGATTCTCAAGCAGGGAAATATGAAGAAACTGAAAGGCAAGCATCACATGGCTCCAATCCAAAGCCAGCTTCAGCTTCATAATCATCTTAAGCGTGACCAAAGGCGGAACAAGCATGAAATGAATTTCAAAGACAAGGCCGGAAGTTTAAAATTATGTGTCAATGGGCGCACATTCATTTCCTCCCTAGGAAATGGCCCATGAATTTGTAATATAAGAAAACTAACAATTTAGAATGACTGTGAAAACACAAGCGGCTCCTTACTGATACTTTGAATCAACATGTCAGTCACACTGGGAACCAGCATAAGCTAAATGCGCCTATTGCATGGAGGAAGACAGCACAACAGCCACCCAAGTTTAAACGGGAAAAGGGAAAATCTATAACCGCAATTCTCTCGCCACTGGTGGAGAATTTACACCAAAAGCAGATTCTCTCCTTCTTCTGATCTCACGCTTTGTTACGTCTTCAGCTAGCCGGTACGCCGCGCTTTGTTAAGTTGGTCAGCACCCCGGGCCCCCTACATTGGATCAGGCTGCTCATTTGTTCTTTTGTTTGGTTTTTACTCAGGGGGGTCAGAGGAGTTTCTCTGTGAAGCATCACACACACACACACACACAAAATTGCTCAAAGTGAACCTCGTGAGATGCCACTGAGATCTTCCACGCATCACACTGAGCGTACAGACACCCCAGAGACTACACTCCTGGACCTACCCTGGGTGTGGAGAAGCTGTCATTGTATTCTGTTGACATCAACGCTTATTCTCTTATAACTCCTGCTATTGACGTCAATGACCTTTAATAGCCATTTCAATATAATTAAGCAATTATAAACTATCATAAATTATTAAAAACTAAGCAAACACATTTTAATCAGTCCATTTGCATGGCCTACACGTGGTGAATTTTGATTTATGCTCAAGATAGGGTGCTTTCAAAATCAATACTTTGCTTTTCGAAATAATATCCTTGAAACAGTCAATAATGGAATAAATTTAAAGACCCTCTGAAGCTTTGGAAGACATCTTAACGAGCACATTTATAGCTAAGTACAACCAGCATGGCCAAAATGTCGGTCTTTATCAATACTAAAACAGCCAATGCACACTGCTGTATATCTGTATGTGAATGTTATAAATATAGCATCAGTTCCTTGGACTGCACACATAAGTACTGTTTCAGAAAATAAAACCAACTTTTGCAGCCATGAAGGATCTTAGGTCCTAAGGTCATAAGGGTTCCTTAGGTCATAAGGGGTACAGGTCAGTTCCAAGGTCTTGGGTGACCAGAGCAGGATTCCTCACATAATAAATCTTCTTTGGAATCTTATCAGCTTCACATGAGAGACGCTGCACCTGCACAAGCTAACAAAATGAACCATTAAATAGTCTAAAAAGGCTACTCCATCCATCCATGAAAGGGACGCCTTACATGAGAAGCAGGCCACTTTCAGTAAAACATTAGCTTGGGGTTGTCACAGTGGAAAGGAAAATCAGCAGATGAGGGATTTCGTGGGATTTCGCCCGCAGAGCACGTGAGAAGTGGCAACCGCCCTCAGTGTAAGTGACCTGATTAAGGTTCAGCCTGACTCCGCTAGCATTGGGGCCCAGCAAAGTATGCGTGATCTCAGATTCCCATCTTTGGATTTCGTAACATTAAGTCACAGAACATTTACTAGAACATTCCTCCCTCCTAGCACATTCCTAACACATTTTTTAAAAATAAAGGCAGTACACTTCATTCTAACATGGAATCACGACAGAATATAAATGCTATATTTAAAGCACTCTGTTCAAACAAGTGAAGCACTTATTTTGTTTCTGCAATGGTCAGTGGTCTGTATTACAGACCTATTTGAAAATAATCAATTCTTCTCATATTTAAATGCCATTTGGTATGCAATCTGTAGACGAATTAAAATTTATGATGTGGATAATTGCAAATTAATTCCGTGCGATTCATGTTGCCAGAAATAAACTTTGAACTAAAGGTGATTACACGTCGACCACGACTTACAGATTTAACTGTGAGATTTCCCCCAGTACATCTCAAACTTAAATTTAATGCTGAGCAGTCTGGTAAGAGACAATATAAAAAAGATAAATAGAGACTTTCTTTCATAGCTCTCTCAAGTAGCCAGTATCTGACAACCCTTTACAGGGCACTCAGTTACATTTAATTATAATTCTGTCCAACAACTTCAGCTTAAAGCAGCGTGATTCGATTCAAATAAATAACTGCAAGCAAGTTTCCTTTTTAGTGCCCATTTTTATCCAGAACTGTTCATGACCATTTAGAACACAAAAAATACGCCACAATAACACAGTCCAATAAAATGAATGTATTTTAATTGAAATGCATCTTTTTTTAGCAATATTTTAATTCCAATAATCAATAACAAAAGTACAAAATTACTATCTCAAGTAAATATTGTCCATATTGTAGAGAGCATCTCCGTATCTGGCCACATCTGATATACCCAAAAAATAATCAAACTAGATAAGTGTTTCTTAAACCAGTCCTTGCCCCCCCCCAGCCAGTTCACATTTTTGCTCCCTCCCAGGTCCCAGCACACCTGTACCAAGCAATTAAGGAATCAGGAACACAGAATACCTCGTACAGGTGTGTATAGGGAGCAAAAATGTGGACTGTCTGGAGGTCCCTGAGGACTGGGTTAAGAAACACTGCTGTAGATCAACAGAATGCTTCATAATAAGAGTCCCATCCCAGCCTTGGAGAAGGCGGGTTTAATTACGGAATACCTGCTTCCAAAATTCCTCCACAGTGAAGTTAGCATTCCTCTGAGCAAAGAGGCGCAGCGCTCTCGCCTCCTTCTTGGACTGCTCGAAGCTGGGCCTCCAGAACCCCCGCAGAGACGACCTGCTGGTGGGACCCACGGCAAAGTCAAACGTTCTCGGAGGGGGGCACGTCAGGTGGTTGCCCTCAGCCCGCCATGTTTTGGGTGCGAGGCCCTGCCGTAAAAAAAAAGGATGATGATAGTTCATAGTCAGAACACAGAAGTTCCCTGTATATTCATATCTTCTGGCTTTGATTCACTCTTCAGTTACTATTAAGCTAAACTGTAAGTTTTTCATTTATTTATTTAGTGGACCATTTTGTCCAAAACGACATACATTTTTGAGAAAGCAGGGTCAGCCCATCCCTGGAACAATTCGGGGTTAAGGTCCTTGCCCAAGGACCCAAAAGTGATACCAATCTGCAGATTATGAAATCTGAACCAGTGACCTTCCAGTCACAGACACTGCATCCTAACCTGCAGAACCACACTCCAGGCCTGGTCAGTGGTCATGTAATTTCAGGCCACTGTGTCTGGGATAGGCACTGTACAAAAACTGATCATCATTCCTTATATTAAGTGGAAGTTCTACATCCCAACATAGGAACACAGAGTATTTCAAAGAAGGGTTGGTCATTCAACAACATAATGAAATCTGTTCTCCATGCGAAACCAAATACACGGATCGACTCACTGACTCAAACACAGAAACATTTTAATCTCAGTACACCTCTGATCAAAATTTTTTTGGCAGATTTAAAAACCAAAAATGTGACGGAATGAGTCAGAGTTTTGGGGTACGTCCTGTTTCTGAGTTACCTGTCCAGCTAACCAAAATGTGTCAATAGAACATTTTTCCAATGAGTTTTAAATATCATCATGCTGCCGATACCTACATTCTTAATCTTGTAGTTTCTGAAGTTCAAATATGTTTTCATGGAGAAGGCAGCAGAGAAAACCCTTTAGCAAAAAGTAGCCTAACGTAAACTAATACACACTAAAGGACAGAGCACTACAAACAAGAGAAAACCAATATAACATGAAGAAGGGGTGGTGTGTGGCTCAGTGGGTCGAGATACTGTGCCCATGATTGGTCAGTTTCCTGTTCAAATACAGCAGTAAGCCCTTAACCGCCAAGTGCTCCAGAGAATGCCTGGCCGTGCGTCACTTTGAATAAAGAGTCAGCTAAATGAGTAACCTTGAATACCGAAAATCAAAATGACCTTCTCCTGCCTGTTGATATTCTCCCACACCCTGGCGCACACTATGCACTCGAAAACGTCAATGTGGCTGTCCTTGGTGACGTCCTGGATGCCCCATCTGCGGCGCCTCATCTCAGCCACCAGGTTCTGGTTGGTCACCTCCCGCCTGTACTTCCAGCCTAGGTAGGCCTCGTACTCCTCATCGTCACCATCCAGCTCCTTGAGGAGCTCTGCCAGCTTCTCCGGCGACTCGTTGGGGCTGACGACTACCGCACTCATCTCGGCGGGAAGCCACGTGCGGATGTTGGGGGCACCATAGTACACGGGGACAACACCGAGTTTGAGCGGCCTCCACAGCTTCTCTGTGATGTAGTCGTCGCACACGGCATTCTCAAAGGCCAACGTGAACTTGTACTGAGCGAGGATCTTGTAGAAGCCCGGCTCCTCCATGGTGGTGGAGTCCCGCAGGTATGCCGGAAGCTCCTTGTTGTGTAGGCACTGTCCGTACGAGTCCACTGGGATGTACTTCATCAGCTGCCGCACAAAGGCGTCCCGGTCGGAGGGGGGGTCGCAGTCCGACTGTACATACACTACGGGGGCTAGCGAAGCACGCAGAAGATTCTTCCGGGACAAGGGGACGAGGTGGGTGTGGGAGGTGAGCACCTCCAGGCTCTCCAGATACTGAGTAGTCAGCGGCAAGTGGGAGAAGCGGCTGAAGGTGGCCGTGTGGTTGAACAGGGCGACGACGGGCTCATGGAAGAGCTTGTAGTTGTTCTTCGGTGACTCTTCATGGAACAAAGCCCAGTGGTGGTGAACCCCTCTGGGAAGGGGAAGGCTGTCTACATTAAAATCCGTGCCTCATTTCATATGATAAAGAGAAGAGAAACAAGGAGTTAATGATGAATTCAACAAAATTTTATAAAATTTAACTGACACCAATAAATTTATATTCTCGCTCTTAGGTAACGTGTCTTATAGAGAAGAGCAGAGATACGACTGGAGATGGAACCCAACAGATGCAACCGTTTTTTTGGCACTTTCATAAAATTATAAGTGCCAAATAAAAACACAGGAAGGGGGTGATGGGTGTATTGTGAATTTCAGATTACATCAGATACATCAGTCACCCAACCACATGGGTGACTTCCCCCACCAAAGGAGAAACATATTTTAGAGAATTTCAGTTAAAATAGACACACTGGTGGTCTGCAGGATGCATTTCCTATCCCCGTTTATGGATTTTCTACGAACATTCTGCAGAGTCAGCTGTGCCATTTGGATGCTACGAGGGTGATTTAAGTTATGTGGAACATCATTATTGTCCGCAAATCTCAACACTACCCTCCCCCCACGTTCATAAAACCTTACGAACTAAAACCACCTCACAGGAACAAAGAAACGATTTATATTCGTTCTTGTTTCTCGAGGCTCTGTGTTGATGACTCTTGTCGCACTGTAATGAACCTGGAAACGGCAAAATGTGCCACTATGTTGCTTGACATTCCATCTCAGTACACAAGCAGGACGCCAGCAATGATAGCTAACTAAATAAATAAATAATCCTGTCACCCCTCCTATCCAAGGGGGGGGGAAAAAACTAAATCGATTTACTGTGAACATATCATTTCAATTAACCCGGGGGCCCTGTCCTCCGCCTCACACAGGGGGTGTCGGCCCATTACAGCAGAGTGCACTCCCACATTGCTGCTCTGAATAGGATGGGCACATTTAATCAGCAAATGCACCTGATTCACAGGCAACCAGAGACGGCCGGCTGTCCAGGTCACCATTTTCTTTCCATGCACTGTTGTCCACATTCATAACTGAGACACTTTAAACCTATAATTAAAAATTTTCGAACACCAACCAATGTAGTAAAAAAATTAATTTAACTCAATTTATTTCATATTTATTCCCTCACCACAAACCACTACATCAAAGCACTTCAGTTGTTAATAAGTGCTAATTCTCAATACCACAATACTTGAAATGTTACATAATTACATAGTCATGGTATAGAAATTATTGAAATAATTGCATATTATTTGATTAGCAAATTAGATCAGAACGAAAGAGGTGTAGAGACTATTTATATTTGCCATTACAGATAATTTATGAAAAGGTGGCTGAAGTGGATCTCGCCCAATTACTTCAGTGGCCCATCTTCACAGGCTGAATTATTTAAAATATCATAAAATTTTGCAATTTTTTAAATATATATTTTAATATTTATGCCAGTACTGTAACCAGTGAATCAATGATGCGAAAAACAGCTTCTTATATTGCATTTGAATCAACTGTATCATGAAACTCCGACACTGCACTGCAGCAGCCCAACACGCAGTAATAACTCAGACATGCCTCAGGCTCCCTCTAGTGGCTAACTATGCAATGTGACCTGGGACAATTAGGGGTAACGTTTCAAAGGTAAACTGCAGTTATCACGATACACCAAAGACCTTGTGACAAAGTCGCCATCACATAAGTTATACGCAAACCCACACACAAACAAACATACGTAAACATACATATACTGATTAACATTCCCAGTTACTTGTAATATGCTTAAAATGTTTTTATCATTTGTTCATATTTAAGTAACAAGAATTGTGTTAAGGGTGCACATTTGACATATACCCAGATCTCAAACATATTACAAATCTAATACATATTCTATGACATATAACATATCGGGTCAGCCAGGGATGAGGAGCATGTTTTGTACTGTGTTGGTGGAATTGTTTCTGAAGTGCAATTGTGATCCATAAGGATTTGGGGGGGAGGCGTGAGAGATCAGTCATGTGACGATGTCTTTTCTCAGCATTTTCGGAGAAAAAATGAAGGGGAAAGAGCAGGTGCTACAGTGAGCCACAATGTCAGAGGACAGCAATAAGGTGAGGGCAACAGCTACACCACAGAGTGACTTGATGGCACTAATGAAAGACTCTGTTATAGGGCAGCAGAGGAATGAGGAAGGGTTTTTGGCAAAACTCCGTGATTTGAGGGCATCTCCTGCCTGTCTCCTCATTGGTGCAGCCTTCCCCAATTCAGCCAATCGGTTTCTGTCAGCAGGTAACAGATTTCTCCATCACCATTCATGAATTTAGATTCAGACCCAGTGTTAGAACTGTTTGAGTATCCTCCCAGACAAAGGTATAGGGATTTCAGTTACCCCCCCCCCAAAAAAAAATTAATAAATTACTTGTTACATTTTGCATGCATTGCTAAAACATGGAAATGGCCAACGTCAGAATGGGCCTGTCGACTGAGTTGGAGGCCTGCACTGCAATGGATGAGGGGAAAGTCCATTGTTACACTGACCTAAAAATGCATTACTAGTCAAGTTTGATATCTCCCCAGAAACATATAGACAGCAGTTCAGGGCCATGTTGGTTCCACGGGGAGAAACCCCAACAGAGACTTATCGTATAAAAAGCTCCAATGTAACACGGCATCAGGTTCCTCACCCATCACCATGGAGATCAGTTAAGAAGATCACAAAGGGGGCACAAAGTTTTACTCCAAACCAACAAACATCAGGTAAGGATCTAATTCGTTTCTATTGTCAGCAATTAGGCTGTAAGGCTTCAGTGTCCAGCATGTAAAACTAAAATAAGTGGCGCACGCTAAGCTTCCTGGGGAGAGAATGAACCAAAGACTGAACAGTGTCAAAAGAACTACAAAACCGTAATGAATAATGGTCAGAATATTACTGCACTGTTGGACACTGGCAGCTTTCTGTCATTAGTTAAACGGGATCTTGTGCCAGCAGGCACCACTGACTATAGCAAGCGAAGTGAAATTTTACGCGTGCATGGTGACAAAGACACATATCCAAAAACTGAAACAAACTGTGGTCATTGATGAACTGCCATATCTGTTAACGGTTGGGGTTGCTGGACATTTGCCTGTAGATCTTATTTTTGGCAGAGATTTTCCTGTGATGCTGGAATTGTTGTGGCAGGGGGGCAGAATTATCACCAGAAAATGTGTGTCATGTGACAACTAATAATGTCGATGATGCTGGTACTGCTTCTTGTCCTGTAATGACCTGAGCAGACTTGAATGATAGTCTGATTGGGGAGAACCAAAGGGTCAAAAGTTGTGGAAACAGTGTCGCTTTGAGAAACGACTGCATGTTACAATAAATAACACTGATAACATGCTGTCAGATTAAAAGTGGGAATTGCCTGCTAGTTGCAGAGACACGATGAAGGTTTGAAACCATTGTTTGCTAAAGCTGTTGACACTGTACTTGTGAACAGTTTGGGCAAAGAATATTTGATTGCTACTGATGATGTGTTGAGTGCTGTAATGACACCAGACCATGCCTAGTAGTTCTTGCTGCCTGCTACCTGTAGATCACTCATTATGCATTTGGCACACACTCCCACGGGCAGGACACCCAGGCCATCACAAAACATACCTCCTTATCAGCTCACAATTCTATTGGTCTTTCATGTATACAGACACCCAGACATACTGCACCATATTCAATACATGCCAGAAAACCTGCAACATCCACAAATCAGATCGTGCACTTTTGCAACCACTCCCCATCATCTCTGCTCCTTTTCGTCAGATTGCCATGGGCATTGTGGGTCCCCTTGAGGAAGAGCCGTGGTCACTAGTATATATTAGTTGTGTGTGACTAGGCAACTTGCCTACCTGGAGCCTTCCTACTGTGCACCATCAGTGCACCCGCCATGTCTTCGTGCTTTGATCCGAGTAATTTTCCAAGGGAAGGATGACTGATGAAATGCTGACAGACCAGGGGACTAATTTTACATCCAAATTGATGCAGCTTTTCTACAAACAGCTAGGAATTGCAGCGATTTCCCCTCACCATACCAAACAGATGGACTGGTCGAAAGGATCAACCAAACTTTGAAGAAGATGCTTCAGAAATTTGTGAATGACACTGGAAAGGACTGGGATCACTGGCTGCCTATCCTTCTGTTTGCTTTTTCACCCTTTGAGCTCCTCTATGCCTGCAATGTAGAGGGACCTTTAGACTGGGAAGAGCAGCCAAAGACAGAGGAGTAGTCCAGTATACACTGGCGATAAGAGATTATTTGTCAATATATCAGACTGAGGCAGTGGACAACCTGCAGGCTGCGTGGTAGAAACAAAAAACCTGCCATGACCAGCCGGCCTGACACAGAGATCTTCAGCCAGGCCAAAAGGTCCTTCTGTGGCTCCCGTCCTCCATCTGTAAATTGCTAACCAAGTGGCAAGGCCCATAAATAGTCACAAAGAAGGTGGGACCTGTCACATATGAAATACACCATCCAGACAAAAAGAAGGCAAAGGTAAACAAACTCTCCTAGTGCAGAAGGTAGAAGTGAAAGTGTGACATTGCTGACAGGGAGCAGACAAAGCCTTTCACTCCACTTTTGGAACATCATACTTCCACACAGGCTAGGGAATCAGCTTTTTCAGGACGTGAGTTTGCTGTTTACTGTTACCCCAGGTAAGACAGTGGTAGTTGAAGAAACCATTCAGTTAAACGGTGACCAACTAGTCTGACAACAGCCTTATCAGGTCCCACAACAGCTGCAGGAAGAAGTTAAAGCTAGGGGTGACTGAGCCTTCTGACACTGAATAGTGAAGTCCAGTTGTACAGGTAATAAAAAAGATGGATCTCTTAGAATATACAATGGTTTCTGGAAGCTTAATGCCGTCTCCGTGTTTGATACATATCCTATGCCAAGGATCGACGATCTTTTGGAAAAGCAGCATACAGGACCACCGTGAACCTGGGCAAAGGACACTGGCAGGTGCCACTGGCAAGCTCTAGTAGGCCACACAAAGCATTCAAAACACCAGTAGGGCTCTTCCAGTTTACAGGTATGCCATTTGGGTTAGATGGTGTGCCAGCAAGCTTTCGCCGCCTTACAGATAAAGTCCTCCAGGTATGTGATGAATTCAGTGCTGCCTCCCTAGACAGCACTATCATTTTCAGCAGGACCTGGGAGGAACATGTTCAGCAATTAAGACTAGTTTTAAAGAAGGGAGCTGATTTGACTCTAATTACTGGCAAATATGAGTGAGCTAAGCAAGCGACATGTCATCTCGGATACTGTTTGGGGGGAAGAGAGGTGAGGCCAAAGACTGAGAAGGTCGAGGCACCAAAAAGGTAGTACAAGTGTTGCTGGGCTAGCCATTTGGTACCGCCGATTTGCTCCACAGTTTGCTACAATGACTGCCCCACTTACAGCACAGACCAAAAAGGACCGAAGAATCCCAGTTACCGGGTTGGAGGACTGCAAAATCACTTTCAGGGCCCTAAAGGGCTGTCTTTTCTGTCCTCCAATCTTGCAGTGCCCAGATTTCAATAGGAAATTCCTGGTACAAGATGATGCCACTGCAGTGGGGCTGGGGGCTGTCATGACTCAGGGAGACCCCTGGGGGAACCACCAATCCGAGGATTTGGCAATTAAGTGGGCACTGCAGAGATTGCATTGTTATCTTTTGGGAAGGAAGTTTGACCTTGAGACAGACCACAGGACTTTTACGTGGATTAACTCTGTGACAGACCGCAAGCTGCCTTACCCGACATCAACCTGGGAAGACTAATGTAATGGCTGATTACCTTTCCAGGTTGCCACACATCATCAACCTAGGGCAAGCGGGGAATGATGTGACAAAGTAGCTGTCACATAAGCTATACGCAAACCCACTCACACACATACACATTCCCAGTTAGTTGTAATATTTTTATAATACTTTGATCGTTTGCTCATATTTAAATAACTAGTTTTGTGTCCAGGGTGCACACTTAACAAATACCTGGATTGCATACATATTGTACATATGATACATATTATATGATACATAACATACCAGATGCCCAGGTAGCAAGGGAGGAGGAGCATGTGTTGGTAGAACTGTGTTCTGACGTGCATTTGTGATCCATAATGTTTGGGGGGGCGGGAGTTAGGATTGCTTTTTTTGTTGTTGTCCAGATTGGTTTGTAACAACTGACCGGTGTGCCGGCCAACTGAAGGGGACTGTACTAGGAGCTGCAGTGTAACTCCAAGAGACTGTGTTACATTGTTACACTTTATCTTGCCATAATCTTGTCCTTTGGAAATGTAGCAAAAACACTGTTGCCTTGTGCCAAGTGTTGTTTGGGAGTCATTAAAAAAACTCACAACAGACTAGTGGGATACAATAGGCGCCCCTTAACGTCTTTTACTTTTTATCTGAAACGCAAATTCTATGTCTTCATTGTTAATTTGACAAAATAATATATATTTCATTGGGGAGGACTGGGGACTGTTTAAATATTAGTGTATGACAACTGTAAACAATCTTAACTATGAACAAAGTTAACTATAAATAATATTATAATATGTTTCTCTGATACTTTGTTATACATTTGCTCTCATAACATGTTACACTTTATAGGAACCTTAAATACACCAAAAGAGGCACAGAGTAATGAACAGTGCCGCTTCTTCTTGGCTCTGATGAACCACACAGCGACTCCACTCACCATAAAAGAGGAACGCCTGCGTTGAAGGGTGACCATGGTAAGTCTTGTTGATGGTGAAGAAGCACCTGTATTCCCCGCACTCTCCCAGGCGCCCTGTCTCTCCCGTCAGCGGGGACCACCACACGATGACCGGGTACTGGCTGCTAGGATCACCTGGTCTTCCTATTGGTGTCCAGGGATTGGCAGCTTGGATGGTCTGCTTCGGCTTGTAATTATGATCTTCCTGCTTCCTCTCAAAATGGCTCAACTCCATGAGGACCTGAGCAGCAGGGAAGTCCAGAACAACTTCAGGATAGGGTGGAAAGTGCAGCTACTCTGTGCTGAGCGTTTATGGTTATGAAGAGAATTCAAGAAAATGTGAGTAAAGACTGAGACTTGTTCTTAAACAGTATTGGGTAAATGCATTCACATGCATACAGAAATGAATACTGAAACGCTAATTACAGGAACTCATACTGTTGCATGAGAAAAGGTGACTGAAGAATGTATTATACTGAAATGGATAGTTTGGAAATAAAAAGAAATACCAGGAGAGGAGAGGGAGAGACTGGGTGCGCACCCTCAGATTAGTCAGACAAGCCAGGCATATCAAGGAACTAAAAGGAACATGAAGGTTAAATATTGCACTGCGTGCCTGGAAACAAGAAATAATAATTAGCAGAAGATATTTCTCAGAATCTTTACACTAACGAATATTCAACCATTTAGAATACAAATCTGCCATGAAGGGACTGAAATCCAAAAACTTTTAGCACATTTCAAAATGTGATTATTTATGTATCTGTATCAGTATAATGTATCAGTCATTCCATCTTAATTCAGCAAATGGCCTTTGCATCACCAATTTGATCTTGATGAAATTTGGCTTATGAATTATGCATACCTTCCACAGCTCAGAAATGTTTTTTGTTCGTTTTTTAGAATTTTTTGCTTTAAGATATAGAACCATTTTTTAAGCCAAAGGGACCAACTAAATAATAATTCAGGCAGTCGGCTGTAACTTTACTGTCACAGCTCCTTGGTGCAGTTGTAACCAATGTGCCCTGTGATGGGTTGGCACCCATCTTGAGTTATTCCCTGCCTTGGGCTGGTACGTTCTGAGATAGGCCCCAGACCCCCGTGTCGGATGAGCGGTTACAGAAAATGGATGGACGTATGGCTCAGCTATATTTTGTAGGAAAGCTCAAAAAGAATACTTTTTCTTTGGTATTATTTCAAAAATATTTCTGAGCACTATGTATGTGTAATTCACAATTTCCTCAAAATCAAAAACGGTGATGCCAAAACTTTTTTAGAAATTTGATTAAAATGGAAAGATCCGTAAAGCTTACTTAGTGAATTGGGCTGAAGTATGACTAGACTGTTTTTCGAGTTTTTTTTTTTTTGTCTTTGAAAAGTACATACTGTAAACCAGTTAACAGTATTTAAATGTTCTCGAACATCATCTTTAACGAAAACCACGTGTTCATTTACTGTACCTGTAGGGTGATGATAAGAAAAAATGACGCTGAGAGGCAGACACACAACACAAAAAGTTTCTTCGAGTAAAGTCTCGCCATTTCTGGATCAGGAGTTCCGCAGATTTGCGGAAATAAATCACTGGAAGTTACCTCTGATCATTGCAAAACCAAACCTGATGAATATAACGACAGCGATGCGTTAGTAAAGTAATCATCATAGCGCTGTCCCACCCCATCTTCCCATGTACACATAAACTTCTAGAGAACCGTTCTGATCCTTCACAGAATCGAGCGCCGTATCTGGATGCGACATTAATGAACATCAGCTGCAAGGGGACAAAACGCAACAAACACCAGTGCCACCAAGAGCTTTATAAATGTACCCTAAGGAAAGAAGTCCATGTAACCCAGTGAGGAACCAAAACAAATCACGTCATTCCGCACGCTGCGTCCTTAGCGACAAACGTACGCAGGGTATCCGAGTCAAACGTGTTCAACCACGACCGATTAATACTCTGACAACAAAATAATAAGTCATAAGTGATAAGACTCGATTACTATGCAGTATTTATATAAAAACCCTATTATTGTCAAACAGCTCTAACTTTACTTTAATGGTCATTCCGCGGAATAGCACCCCCTATCGATTCGGAGGAAATGCCCAAGTTAAAATAAAAAATCTACAATGAAAAAAATATTATGAATGTATTATATATGGACATAAAACCATTGTAATGCATAGGAGACATATCCGCAATGCGGTGACATGCCATTATATTTTATATTGTCATGTATTGTTAGCTAGCTATGTTGTGGCGAAACTGACATTGATCCATTGATAAATCTCACTAAAATGAAATGCAGTGGCGCTGCTATAAAGAGATTCTGTCCCGTAGTTTGTTTTTCACAGCAGTATGGCTTTTCGCTTGGACTGCAACTTGTTGAAACAAATTACATGCGAGAGCGTATGGGTGCATGGGTTTATCCAATTGAAGATACGTTTTTAAATTGTTTTCAACCACAACTAGTAAAGGAAATGTGAGAAGAGGGTATCATATACACATGCAAAGCACAGTGAACACCAATTTGAGCGGCTCAAATACGAAACTGTACAGTGCTTATACATTTCAGACAGACCTTGGGGGTATTCCACAAAGTAGAACTATTCTGCTACCTATTGGACGATCCTTATATTTGGCTTAATTAATCTGGCTAATGAAAAATGTGGAATGTTGCTAATGAAATTTGTGGAATTTGCCCTGGTTGGCTATACTAACAGCAACTGCTAAAGCATACTGTGATTATAAAATATCTGAATGAAATAACTTTTGGAACACGTTTGAGGGAAGACTCAAGGGTCAACCATCGTTGGCCGGTTAGCTCAGTTGGTTAGAGCGTGGTGCTAATAACGCCAAGGTCGCGGGTTCGATCCCCGTACGGGCCAGGCTTGAATTTTACAGTGACATAGGGAGCAATGTTATAACTTACCTGCTCGTTGGGGTACGCATTCCTGCGATGGAGCTGCGTCCCTTCCGAAACCCACCCCAGGATGGTAATGTGCTAAGTGTAGTACCTATGCAATGCGTCGTCATGAAAATTAAGAAAAAGCTACCGAGATGGGTCGCTCAAGGAATGACAGTAACGCTAGCCGCGTCCTCTGGCTTTATAATCCTGGGACATTTTTTTTACCTTTGTCCTTATTAACGGGTGCGCGCACAGTAGAAGTGAACATAAATTGACTTTAGTTTCCGTGCAGCATCATGGAGAAAAGAACCTGTCATCATTTTGCTATTTTCAAAATATAATCGATTGCATTGTCACGGAAAATCCAGTCACTTATCCGGATATTCAGATGCTTTATTCTTTATCTCATTAATTATTGTTTTCAAATTATTTGAGGATCTTACCATAAATACATGTTGTAAATTGCTATAGCCTAATGTATTATAGGTCTTATTACAAACATTAATATCACAAACCCAGTATTTTGTGTGTTTTATTAACTTGACCCCTAAAAAAAAAATTGACTCAGACAGTGAAGACTCCAGGATACGCATCTTTTATTGTGGCTAGATGTGGGTGTACCGTTACGTTGTCAGTCAGCATAGACAGTGGTATTCAGTCTCCTTTGCCTGCAGAGAGTGTGTCGGGTTCTCTGTCCTCCACAGATCGCCTGTCAGATAGAAAGCATGCCCAGAATGATGTAGGCGAGCCCAACACCTGCATAACTGTCAAGCCAGCGGACAAAACGGCGATCAGCCCAGGACACTGCCAAATGCCAGACGCCCGTCTCTCCGCTGCCAGCTGCTAAAAGTCATACTTGAAGCGCTCTGTTCAGCAAAAGGCACTTAAACCACGGTATAAATATATTGAGCTATTCTTCATTGCTGCATCTTTCCAAAGTCATTCATTCAAGAGACGGAAAATTTTAAGAAAATAAATAAATACACGTTTAAATGTAGGCTGAACTGGCATTTAAATTAAACTAAATGGCTCTATAATCCACTTAACTTAAATATCTTTATATCACAATTAAAAAAAATCTTCCTTTTGTACCAGATCTGGTTCGGTTAATCAGAGGCCCCCACCTCTGAAATACATACAGGCTTGTTTTCTCTGCGGGTTATGAGCCTCATCTAACGAATGTACCAGACTTGATAGCGAGCATGCGCACTTATTTCCATCTGCAGCCTTCTAGGCACGCAGCTGACAGTAGATGTCACCGTTGAGTAAGAAGATGGAGAAGTACCCAGCTGCCTGATCCACGGCCAGTTTGTGTACCTGTGGTTTGATACCGTCACTTTGACTGGAACATCACTGATGAGGCCGTCTGTACCACAATTAAAACGTGACGAGCAGAGGGCGGGTCCTGCCCTGAAAGATGTTTGCGAGCTGAGCGGCCGATGACGTAACCTTACCGATGCCTGTGATTTCTCCTGTTAACCGTTCCACAATGTGTCGGTCCTGTGCCAGTGATGTTTTTGCTGTGTCGCTGTAGTTAATTCACGAAGGGTTATCCCATATGGTGCCTGGTTAAATCTACTTCTCAACAACATATTTATCCGAAAACTGTATCTGTTCCTTTTTTCACTTACCCCCTCCTGCTCTGAGCCATCTGGTCTTGAGATAATAGATTATCAACTGGGCTTGGCCTTCAGACACTCTAGAGAATGGAGCCATGTGTTGGCATGACCCTACATTTGTCCCCGTCCATCCACTTTAATTCCCAATAACTGGATCACCAAACCATAATTGCTCACTAATAGCTGTCTTCCAGCACCAGCACAATACACAGTTGCACATATTATTTGCCAGTGACTTTTCCAAGCAGCCAACAAATTAGAAAAAAAGTATTAGTACTACTGTAATAATATCCTTGTGAGAAATTGTCCTTGAAAACTGGTTGTTTTAAAAAAAATCTTCTTAAAATATTCTGCAGTAGACCCTGTCAAAATGAACATAATTATAATATGAGGAAATGTTTTACATTTTGGTGCAAATTAAAGCAAACTCCATCTAAACACTTTGTGGAAGGCAACTTGAAAGGAATAGTTCCCTGATGAAATGTTCTAACCAAAAACAAACATGTACTGGATATTATTTTGTGTAACCTTTTGATATAATCTGCTTCTGGGCCGCAAGACAGCAGAACAGCTCCTAGAACGTCACAGGCTTTCTGAAAACTAAATAAATAGCTAGCTTGCTGGTTAGCAGAACATGCTTCAGCATCTCCTTAATAAGGAACACATTCATTTAATATTCAGTGTAGTCACTGGACCCTTGGAGGCCTCGCGCAAATGCATGGTCCTGGTGGTGGTAAACACTGTCACTGTCCATGGTACATTGTTGTGCAATTTAGTAAGAGTTAATAAAATTTCTCAGCCTTCCAAAAGAAGAATGGCCAGTCTTGCATAAACGGGCTTCTGTATTTAGCTCAGGGTGAATTACTTCCTAATCCCACCCGTTTAATGTAACGCTGACATTCGTCATGCGGAAGCACTGCTCCGTCTGACCGCATGTTTCATCATAATAAAGATCATCTGCTAATGCAGCTTACGGCCAAATTACCCTGTTAATTGTAACTAATAATCTGTAATTGGTCTAAGAAAAAACCATACACAACTGACGCGACCCTTTGTCTTCTCTGGCATCTCATACCATCTGTTAACGTGAAGTTACGCCTATACTACCAACGTGGCACTGACCCTGCGGCTCCGGTGGCCCTTCTCTCTCTGCCCTGCCTGTTAAGTGTCCACGCCTCCCACCACTGACAGAACTCTTCAGCCAAGACAACAATGAGTCATGCTGCTTCTGTTCACATGCACCTCCATGGCAACCATTAAATATACTGATTGGCCGCAGGATAGCTTTCCTTAGTATTCACTCAAGGTGAATTCACTTTTTAAAGGGGGCATGCATGTTTTTGCAGCACAGGTAGCTTGCATAAAATAAGTAATAGAATGGTACACGACATTCTCGTATCTGCGTTCTAGCTCACATATGTAGTAAAAGAGACAAGCTTTCTGACTGCTGCTGTTCAAGGCCAGTCACGGTGGGATTTCCGATGTAGCTGTGCTGGAATCGGGGAGTGAATTTTGCTCTCAGAAAGCATTCATTGTAGAGTTGCATGTATCCACTTAAATTACTGTACAAGCCTTAAGGAAGACTGATTAATATTCAAAGCATGAACAGAGCTGACCGTGGCGAAGACAGCTGATAAAACAGACATTTAGGAAGTGCTACGTAAAGTCGACGCATGACTCATGCGGCTGTGCTGTAGAGAAGCCAGAAAACTAAAGTTTAATACACATCGCTGAAGATGGTAGGCGGAAAAATAATACCTGATTTATTACCTTAATGCAGCACATGCTCGTTCCAAGACAGATGAGGTCACGGAAGAGAGCTGGGCAGGGCAAGAAATCTAATGGTTATATAGGCGCATGCCTCTGAACCTCTGCAGAAAGATCTGTAAATGATTCCACAGTAATTATTTGTGTTTTGAGACATTATACGCTAAATATAATTTTTTAAAAACATTATAGCTTTTTGGCCTTAAAAAAGTAGCATGGTAAATATAAATGTTCTTAACACTTCTATTAGTCCCTTCCAAGCGAGCCATACAGATTAGCATTCTATCACTTATGTTTTTAGTTCTTTAATTATTATGTGATAATCATTATTTTGTGTGATTAATTACACATTATTATACAATAGATTATTTTATGCTAGATATAAATCAGGATTAGATAACAGACCTCCAAATGGCTATTTCAAACAGAAAAACAAAAAAAATTCAATTTAGCTAATTGACAGCTTGTTAAAATTAAATCTCAGCTACAGTAAAGACCAGCACAGTGATGTGGTCTGCAGGACAGTGAACGAAGAAGCGTACTGCACAGTAAATCTTGCAATCAGTGCAAACAGACACCAAGACGGTGAAGATGAAATAATGACCAGCCATACAGGCTTTTCCTAATAACACTCCCTGTGAGCTACAAGAAACCTTCACTGCATCTTACTGAATGTCCTGTAAGGTTGTCGCTTGCTCCCCACTGTAATCTGTGAGTTTCTGGTGAATGTATCCACAGTCTCTGCCACACAATTATCAGTTTCGCTACTTAC